CCTCTGGCTTCGGTGGTCCCTGTGGCCCTAATTCTTCTTTCCCTTTCTTCGGAAATTGGACTAGGGTTCGCCATAGCTGATCTTTTCGTTGCTATGAAGTGACCTTGGGCCGCGGAGCTATGGGTCTGGGTCGGGGGCAGCCTCGGCGGTCCATTGTTTCAGGTGGAGTCTTGGGTTTCAGGCGGTCCTCTCCCTCTTCCCGAACTCGACTCTGTCGGCGAGCCTTCCGTTTGCTGCGGGGTGTTAGAGCCGTCCGGCTGCTTTGTTCCTTTTCGCCGGCGGTCTGATGTGTGAAGGAGGAGTGCTTTTGGTCGTCGATTGGCTGTTGCCGGTCCCGATTGAGGGTAAGTCTCCTTCTAGTCGCTCTTGTCTCGGTTTTTTTTGTCTGCGGCCGGCGGTGTTTGGTGTTTAGAGGGTTGGGCTCTTGAGTTGCCCAGGTTCTTTGGCCTTCGGGATGGTGGGGTTGAGGTTGCGGGATCGAGACAGCTCTTTTCCCGGTTCCCTTGGTATTCGAGGTGTTCACGGTTCTGCTGAGCCCACTAGTGGTGTTAGGGGGCTAGGTTTGTCGTGTTGGGAGCTTCTTGGTTCTCTGGTGTGTGGGTGCATTGGCTTTGGTGGGTCTCGTGGTTCGAGTTGCGATCCAGCTAGGCTTAATTGCAGTGGAGGGATCGTTCTTCTCAAGTGGCGAGGTTCCTAGGGTTGATTTTGTGGCTGCTAGTCTGGTTGGATTTGCTGCAGAGGGAGGGCTTTTTGTGTGTTTTTATGTTTTTGTTGTTGCTTGAGTCTGTTTAGTTCAGTATTTTTGGTCTGGGCTCTTTGCCTGAGTGTTCTGTATTGTATTTTTGGTCTGGGCCGTTGGCCTCTGTGCTGATTCCCCCGTGGGGGGCGATCCTATTCTCCCGTGGGGAGCGATCTTAGTTGTGTTGATGTCTTTTAGTTGTGTAGTAGTTCTCTTTTCTAGCGTGGCTAGAGAGGCTTTAGGCGGACTTTCGATCCGTCCTCTCAGTTTTTAGTTCTTGGTTGTAATATTCAGCCTTGGGCTGCTTTTTTGCACTGTTGTGCATTTTGATTTATAACACCTCTATCGTTCCGGCCAAAAAAAAAAATTGATATCTTGTGCATCACTTATTTTAATTTTCAATTCGATATGATCGAATCTAATCTATACTTATATTAAAAGCTATACTATTTACTAAATGTAGTATGTAGAATAGTCAACTCTAATTAATGATTTGCTATTTTTATCAAGCATTTAATTAATGTATCTAATATTTTTGGTATACAAATCAAATTATCATTTAATTAGTTCCTAAAATATTGGGTGTGCAATATTAATTTAGGAATATCCATGTAGTTCCTAAAATGTTGATATGAAATACGTAAAAGAAGATTTTTTAATTTTTTTAAATATAAAATATTGCAATACGTAAAACTATTCCAGTTATTTTTTATTTTATTTTACATATAAAATCTAATCAATATTTAATGCATCCTACAAAATTTGATGGAAATAAAAAAAAAATACGTAAAATCTTTACTAAAATAAAAAAAGTTTTATTCATTATCTAATTGTATAGAAATTTGTTCTGATTTTATGGTACATACTACAAATTGTGCACCCTTGTTCAGGAGCTACATAACGGGCAAGCTCTGTGGAAATAACTCATTTAGTGCTTTTGTCCTGTGCATACAGTATGTATTTGTATTATACATACTAGAAAATTGTGCACCTCGTGCATCACACGGACTCTATACTAATAAATGACCTTAAAATTGTGCACCCCGTGCATCACCCGTGTTCACATTTTGGCCTATTACATGTCACGTACTATATATATCCCGTACATTTTTTTTATTCATTTATAAAATTATAAGACTTGATAAATGACTTTTGTGCGCCCCATGCATCGCACGGGATCGGTACTAGTTGCATACAAATAAGTCACACAATAATTGGATCCTACTTTAGATAACCAATAAATTAATTAATTAGACAATCACTAATATAATTAATTTATGGGGTTAAAAAAGGAGGGTGCGGATCTTTGGGGGGAGAGATGGAGGGTTGACCGGTTCTCATGAGAGATGTAGTATTTAGGCTATGTTTGGTAAAACTAGCTGATAAGCTAGCTGAAAGCTGATAAGCTAGCTTATAGCTTATGGCTATGTTTGGTAAAACTAGCTGATAAACTAGCTGATAGCTGATAAGCTAGCTTATAGCTTACATGTAATTTTTGAGCTTATAGCTTGTAGCTTATGACTTATAGCTGAAAAACTAGCTTATATGATAAAATGTGTTTGGTAAATTAGCTGATAAGCTAGTTGAAATAAAAAATTCAACTAGCTTATTTGAAAAGCTACCTAATGTAGCTTATGAAATAAGCTCGAGCTTTTTAAAAAAACTCGTCCTACCAAACGAGACTTATTTTAAATAGGGAGCTTATAAGCTAACCAAATAAGCTATAAACTAGCTTATTTGGTTTACCAAACATACCCTATATGTAATTTTCGAGCTTATAGCTTATAGCTTATGACTTATAGCTGAAAAGCTAGCTTATATGATAAAAGTGTTTGGTAAAATTAGCTGATAAGCTAGCTGGAATAAAAAAATTCAACTAGCTTATTTGAAAAGCTACCTAAACAAGCTTATCAAATAAGCTCGAGCTTTTTAAATAAGCTCGTCCTACCAAACGGGCTTATTTGAATACAGGTAGCTTATAAGCTGTTAGAGTAGTATACCCAGAGTTCCAATTTGATTGGACGTATTCTACTTGTAA